ATCAATTTAAACTCAACAATCTTCACAAACCTATATTGGTCATTATGTTTTCACATCCCTCTGATTGATTCATATCTAATCAAAAGAATGTTTTGATGAAAGATCCCGTTAAATGTAGTTCATTGTTTTAAAGGATTTGTTTTTAATAATCGATAACATGTTCTGTAATTGTACTACATAATTCCTAGAAATGACCGAGACAATAATTTCCACTTATTTTAATAACCCAAATATAGAGTAAGCACTAACTACTAAATATGACTGTCGACAATTATCTGACATTAAAAATGTACCAGCATAAGGGTTGTGGAGATTATTAAGTTTCCAACCGTGGTCTAACATCAATCAGTTCATGATCTCAATCAAAAAATTAAAAATGTAAACTGAGATGGTGAATTACTTGATTGAATGATCAAACTTCACGTTTAGGTAGATAAAATCTGATTTGAAATTAGATGTATACAATTAAACTTTGTTTAACATATAATTGTCTAGCCAAAAGTAGAGTAAATAATGAGTTCTTTTTCATCGACCCTATTAAACAGTGAACTAATTTTCTAATCTTATTTTATTTTTTGAATAAAAATTCAGTGAAATTTCTATGATTAAATGAAGAAGTATTGTAAGTAGTTTAAATGATGATTTCCAAATCCAAATAAAACACAAATGTATTTTTTAAAATCACATAAGTAAAAATTATTCTATGAATATAACGTGAGTAACTTAACTTGATAAACACTAACGGAATCAAACAGATTAAAACTGTTAAAATAACATTTTGAAATGGTACAATACATAAGTTTTGGTTCTAAACATTCAAAAAAATAGTAACGGCCAACATTCAGTGATCTTAAATTCGAACCTATCTGTACTGAATTGCAGTTTTTGTTGGAATATTAAAATAAGTGATAAGTACACCTAATTGATAAATTCCAAATAGAATAAAATGTGTCTTAGAACCGGCTGATAGTCACTTTCTAAAATATAATAAAATTTCGGAAATAAATTTTGAAAACACCTTACATTCTTAAGAGATTTTGCTAACAAACATTAAGAACTTATCTATTACAGTTATATACTAAGTGTTATTATCCTTTAAACAATTTAATCTGTAATAACGTTTAGTATAAATACATAAGAATTCTATGAATATTACTTAACAAGTATCTTACCTGAGATATCCATTTTTGTTTTTGTTTCAATGTAGGTTCTATTTCTTCATACATTATAGGAGTGTTTTCTAATTCCATTCTAATCTCTTCATTATCATTTGGTATTCTAGTTGTGCCTATCATAAACAAAATTAAACATAATTTTAATTTATAACTTTTAACAAAACTAAACAAATAAAAATCAAAAACAAAATGTTATTCAATGAATTACCAATTTTCCAAGAATTTGTTAAAGAAATTAAAAGACAATAGATAACTAATGCTGTTATAGACAGAATATTCCAAGCAGAACATTTATTCATGTTGTAATTGTCTATTGTAAGTAACTATGCAGTTTTAATTAAAGATAAAAGTTACTATAATAAAAGTTCTGTTGATTTATAGAATGAAAATTGTTTTTTTTTTAAATATTTTTTTGAAAAAAGAATGTTTTTATTTTAGTTTCTTCTCATGTCATTGGTTAATTTTATTAATCATGACAATTAACCAATCATTTTGTATGCTCAAATTAGTTTATTTTTGTTCATTGAAATAATATTATTATTACAATTCTTTACCAAGCTGGTAAAGAAGAAGTGAAAACATGCGGTGGAAGAAACTAGCAGATTTGAAATAGAGAAAAATAAACAATTATTTTTCTAGAGATAATCTTTCCCTTAATACTGTTCTGTGCAATCTGATGACTTTTTTAACAGTAATCAAGATTACTTAAAAAGTTACTGGATTGGAATCATGTTCATTGTATTGTAATTAGGTATGTTCTATTGTAATTACTAATTAAGTGAAGGTTAATCTCAATGATTTATGACATCAACCAAACAAAATTAGGCAAGGAAAAGTGAACAGGGACTGATTCGATGGACACAACATAATAATGATTCAATTTCCATTCATTCGAAGCATAAATTCCATGTCAAATATAAACTAAATAAACTGATTTGATTTCGATGTTTTCGACACTGTTGTTACATGACTTACTATATTTTAGGAATAAAAGATGTAAAAAAACTTAAGTTGCCTTATTTTACTTACTGAACCATCTCTCAGCTAAGTGAAGAATAAACTGTTATGGATAAATCTGTTGTTTCTTCGTAATTGTTGATTTTTAAAACGGAAAGCAGTATTACTCTTTGAATTGCGGGTTTGATTGCTTGTCTTAATATCGAATGGGCAAAATTGTTTCTCTTCTACCTTTAACATTTTTTATTTACACTAACACTCTTTCACATACATTAACTAAAACCCCTAATTTATCACTGGTTAATAAAACGTGGCAAATGCGGTGTTTTGGTGACTAATTATTCTAAAAACTTATTAAAATCATGTAGTAATGAATTTGAACAAATTTTAAAAAGCTAACCTGTATAAATTGCTTTTAGTAAGTTAGTACATTTAAAACCTGTTAAGTTGTAATCTTATGCTTATTATGAACGCAAATGATCATATCATGGCTTTAATAATTCTATCACTGATCTACCTTGAATATTTAGACAATGAACTACATGTACTAACCTGGGGATTTTTTGAATTGCTAACCAAAATTTTTTAATTTCTCCATTCGCAGATCCTTATCTTATTGTTAAACAAACATGTTATCTTCACTAGATTATTGTTTAGGAAATACCAACCATCAGTTTCAAATTTACGTTGAAAGTCTGTTTTGTTCTAAGCATTAGTTTTGTGTAGAAATTGATTGAGAGACATCTCACTTTATCGATATGTATTTGAAACCCGTTCAAGCAATCTTTCATATTTGTATGTAGCATGTCACATGCTGTGTGCACTTCAAACTTCAATTAATGACCTTTTGAGCAACTTACTTATTCGTAGGTTAGTCGATTTCCTTGGTCTTTAGTTACTGCCCATAATGTCAAGATTTCATGATAGTGAAATCTAATTACTTAGTTTCTTACTTTGTAGCGATGACAGACTAAACTGAAGTTATTTTGGTAGTTATCCTGTACATGAAAAACAATTTAACCATACGAGCTGTCGAGACAGTGGTGCACTAGTCACAAACATGTGAATCAGTACGCTGGAGGATGAAGTGCAAAGTGCAAGACATTGAATACGTTGTAATATACCGCAGTCCAGGATATGTAGTGGATGACTTACTCTTGAACAAACTCATTTCCTGGTGAAACAGGCGTAAAAGCATTATAGTAGATAACTTTAATGCACTCTCTACAAACTGGGGAAACCTAGAAGTAGGGTCATCGAGAACATCGTCTGATCACAAAATTTTAAAAGCCACAATCAACCTAGTTTTATTCCAGTACATTAGACATTTCAGGACATATAATCTACAAAACTCTCCGTCAGTCTTGAGCTTACTCTTTACACACAGCAATGATATCATTCAGATAACGTTCCTCCTATCTATCGGTAGAAGTGATCATGTGGTTTTCTTACTCAAATAGCCTGTCTATGAGTTATGCCGCCTTGGAAGGCAGACATCAAAGCGATCAACACTGCAGCTTCCGCTGAAAAGTGGAAAATCATCTCAGTCGCATTAGTAAAATCAAACGACTGACTCAACCATTTATACCGCAGATAATCCAAAAGAAAAAATACGGCCATTTCTGGATAAAGATGTGTATATGATGTTTACTAAGATAAAAGTAGGAATGATGGAAGGTTCTTATCAAGATACACGATGAAACACTACAGGTTGGTCCGAAATAAATGTATAACCACACACCGGGAAGCCCAGCAAAAATAAGAGGAGCAGTTTTCATAGTCTAAAATCAAGCAGTAGAACAGACTGTTGTTGTACGTAAATTGCAGAAAAAACGCAGCATTGAATTCCCAACCTAATTACGAATCGGAAGACATTTCAAACGATTGAGGAAAACCAGGACAAAGAAGAGGTCATAGCTGACTATTTACGGACGGTTTTCACCTGAAAGTTTCGTCTAGATGAAGAAATGGACCCTAATAAAAGTTGGAAAATCAGCAGCTCTCTGTGAACTTTGATCGAGACGACTTACTAAAAGTTTTGGGCGCTTTAGAAACGGAAAAATCAATAGAACAGAACGAACAAAACCCTAAGATCTTGAAAAAAGTCGCACAATAATTTGCTAAAACATTGACTACGGAATTCACTATGTCACTTGGTCAAGGTGAGTTAACTATGGACTGGAATGACGTGATTATCTCTCTAACATAAAAAACGGGATCAAGACACGTTCCATCAGACTACAGACCTGTCAGTCTCATCAGTGTCGTAGTTACAATACTGGAAAGGATTATTAGAAATGTTATAATGACATTAGTGAGAACCGGAAAAGAGTTATCTTAGACAAAAATCCTCTTTACAGCTCAAGAGCGTGTAGTGACTCACTTTTATCACGAGAACACGACTGATTTAATAAAAACAATTATTATTGTAACCAACTGTACCAGTGCTTGTTTTAATGTACTTTTGTTTAATTGTGCTAATTATAGTCATTTTGTGCTTCCATTACCTTCCATCATTGTTTCGCGGTTTTTGGTACTGTTCGCACGTACTCCTTTCTCCTGCTTCCACTTGTACCATTCCTTGGCACGATCTTGGTATTCGTTCGATACCACGAGATCGTCAACGAAATAAACCTGGTTATGTTCGACCTTCGCCTTCTGATTTACTTGGCACGTGTTTCTTGGTAGTGGTGTTCATAGTCAATCTCGACTCGACTCCACGCTACAACTGGTGAGCCAAATTTTGGAACACGCCCCAATCTCTGGTCAAATCTTCCAAAGAAGCCAATTCGGTGAGTCTATAGTTTATCTACCCACGTCTGTCATATATTTTCATGTTATTATTTTTTAATATATAATATACACGACATGACGGATAGCGACAAGAATAGTATTAATGTCATAGACTCAGACGTACAGGCCATTCACTTTCGACCTGTATCATTCATTCCCCACGACCCAGAGGTTTGGTTTGTTGCATTAGAGTCTCAGTTCGAGACTCGTCGCATTACGAGCCAAAGGCAAAAGTACGCCTTCGCTCTCGAATCATTACCCGGGGACCATTTAGTTGCTGTACGTGAGGTCATCCTCAATTCCAATGTGCCTAATGTTTATGATCACCTCAAAGAGACAACTCTCCGACATTTCCTCCCATCGAGGGAGGAACGATTGAGGGCATTGTTAACACGTCACCCCCTGGGTGATGCTAAACCAAGCCACCACCTCACGCGCCTGCAATCTCTTGCAGGACCAACAGCATCTGACTCGGAACTAGTTAAGGAATTGTGGCTCGAGTCACTACCAGCTCATATCCAGCCTATTGTGACGGCACTGCTCGAGGACGCACCGCTTAACCAGGTAGCCCTCATAGCAGACAAAATTTTAGCGAGGACTAATAACAGAGACAGCTATGTAGCTGCTTCGACGGCACGTCCTAAATTAGACAGGGACGCCGATCACTCCCCAGCTCATGGCGACAGGGACGGGTGTATTCACAAACGTCTTAATTTTCGAGACCGTTGTAACGTACCCAAACCCTATGTCCCCCGAGCTCGCTCAAGTTCTCGCAAACCCGTCACCACTCGCCCAAAAAGGGAATCTTCCAAGTCACGCCGAAGGGCGGCTTCGGAAGCGAGTGACAGTTGGTGCTGGTTCCATAGGTCCTTCGGGTCTGGCGCCCGCCGTTGTCGAGCACCATGCTCATACAACGCGGGAAACGCCAGCGCCGGCGAGTAAAAGCGGCCGTACTCGCCGGCCCTTCTCCCCAGGTTGATCGCTTATTCTATGTGCACGATTACTGCACAAACGCTAGGTTCTTAGTAGACACTGGAGCCCAAGTTTCTGTCGTACCACGAGGTAGCAGCAAGTCACAAGCTACAATGCTTCGACTACGCGCTGTGAATGGCTCGGTCATTCCTACCTACGGTAGACGACAACTCGCGGTCAACCTGGGCGATCGACGACGGTATCTGTGGACGTTCATCATTGCTGATGTTCCCACAGCCATACTAGATATCGATTTCCTACAGCACTATGAATTGCTTGTTGATTCACGTAGGCTGAAGCTAATCGATACTTCGTCGAACAGTAAATTCATGGGCTGTAAAGCTTACATGAACGCGTACCCAATCCTCGGCACCTTTTACTCGCGTGACGATAAATTCCACGCTTTATTCGAGAAATTTCCCGTACTCACTAAACCACTCGAGGAGATTCCACCGGTGACCAATCGTGCGGTACACCACATAGTCACCGGCGGACCGCCAGTCACGGCACGACCTCGCCGACTGGCACCGGACAAATTAGCTTTTGCTAAGCGTGAGTTTGACAATTTACTAGCTACTGGTATTATTCGTTCTTCTCACAGTCCATGGGCCTCTCCTCTACACATGGTGCGCAAAAAAGATGGGGTTAGTTGGAGACCATGCGGCGACTACCGAGCTCTAAACGTAGTTACGCGCTTTGATAGCTACAACATCCCCCACATACACGACATCACGACATCGCTCAAGGGCACGACTATCTTTTCTAAGATCGATCTGCTACGAGCATATCATCAGATCTCAGTCGCTCTTGAAGATATCGAAAAAACTGCTATCACGACTCCTTTCAGTTTGTTTGAGTTCCTACGAATGCCATTTGGATTACGGAATGCTGCTCAAACTTATCAAAGGTTTATCGATAGCATTGTACGAGACCTCGATTTTGTTCACGTCTATATTGATGACCTGCTAATCGCATCATCAAACGTAGATGAACATTATCAACATCTTACGCTATTATTCCAACGCCTTTCGGATAATGGAATAGTAGTTAACCCAGACAAATGCGAGTTGGGTAAACGAGAAATAATATTTCTGGGTCATGTTATCAAGCAAGAGGGTATTCTACCTTGCGAGGACAAAGTGCAAGCAATAAAGGAGTACAACGTGCCGTCCTCACTCAAGGAACTGAAGGCTTTTCTCGGTTTGGTTAACTTCTACCGTCGTTTCATCCCACACGCGGCTGAACGGTTACGACCACTAACCGACTTACTTCACGGCAACCCACGCAGATTAGAAATGAACAATTCTGCACGTATTGCATTCACTGAAATCAAAACGGCTTTTGCGCAAGCCACTCTTCTCGCCCATATCGATCCACCAGCCACGCTTAGTATAGCGGTTGATGCATCCGATGTTGCTATAGGAGCAGTCATGCAACAAAACATCTCCGGTAGTTGGCAACCTCTTGAGTTTTTCTCACGACGCCTTACTACCACGGAGACGAGATATAGCGCTTTTGGTCGCGAGCTGCTAGCAGCCTACTGCGCCATCAAACATTTTCGGCACGCAGTAGAAGGACGTCAATTCATCTTATTCACCGACCATGAGCCCTTAACGTATGCTTTACATACCAAGTCTGACCGCTACTCACCACGAGAGTGCAGACATTTGGACTATATCTCCCAGTTCACGACAGACCTTCGTCACATCAAAGGCAAGTCGAACTGTGTTGCCGATGCTCTATCAAGAATCCAAACGAATTCAGTTACTCTGCCGGTCCCCGATCTTCCGGCTATGGCCGCTGCGCAAGCAGACGATCCCAGTTGTACAAAAGCACCACACTCCACGTCCCTTCAGTATCAGGAAGTACCTCTAGCCACGGCTTCTGGCACCATCCTTCTACCGGTCTTCCTCGACCCATCGTACCCTCTGCTTATCGCCGTCCGTATTCGATGCCATGCATGGATTATCTCACCCAGGTATCGCAGCCACATTGCGTCTCATCGCTGCACGATACGTCTGGCCGTCCATGAACAAAGATGTTCGTATGTGGGCGAAGCAATGCTTACAATGTCAACGATCAAAAGTGCACAGGCACGTAGCCGCCCCCTCAGTACATTCGCTACGCCTGATGCTCGCTTCGATCACGTTCACTTAGGCATTGTAGGACCACTGCCACCATCGCACGGGTATGATAACATACTCACGTGCATCGACCGCTTCACCAGATGGCCCGAAGCTATACCCATCACGTCTATCACGGCGGAGACAGTTGCTCACCGCTTCGTAGAACGATGGATAGCTCTATACGGTTGTCCCTTGACTGTCACGACTGACCGAGGACAACAATTTGGGTCCGCATTATTCTCCTCACTTACTCGGCTGCTTGGTACGGAACGCATACGCACTACCGCCTACCATCCAGCTTCTAATGGTTTAGTTGAAAGGTTTCACCGTCAACTTAAAAGTGCTCTTCCAGCACACGAAAACGGCAACTGGTACGAAACCTTACCGCCCGTTCTCTTAGGTATTCGAACGAGCTTGAAGGCAGATATCCTATGTTCCACCGCTGAACTTGTAAACTGCACAACATTGCGTCTGCCCGGGGAATTCTTTACACCACGGAGCAGACCTAACTTCGGTAAATCAGACTACGTCCATCGACTGTCTGCATTTATGCGAACGCTGTCTCCGGTGTCAACTCGAATACAACATCGACAGGTCGCTCTCCCTCGAGAGTTATCTACCTGTTCTTATGTTTTCATACGAGTAGATTCGGTACGCAAACCTGTGCAACAACCTTACGAAGGCCCTATTCGCGTGATCGCTCGTCACGAAAAGACCATCAAGGTTGATCGATACGGCCGCGTCGAGATCGTCAGCATTGATAGTCTTGAACCAGCACACGTCGATGACAGTGCCCTATCTGATAACCTGAGATTCAATGCTAGACCTATCAAACCTACTAGCGGGATACTCAAACCATCTTCAGGTCCCACGCTAGATACACCTGAGACCTCATTCTCACGTCCCAGTCAACAGCACGCGTCATCTGTACCGTCTACGGACGAGACGACAGTCTCACGTCCAGGTCAGCAGACTACGCCGCCCTTGACTTCGGATGAGATTACAGGCTCACGCGACGCGAACGAGACTGCCGTCTCACGTTCCGGTCGCCGAGTACGGTTGCCCATACGCTTCCGCGAATAGTCGCACAGTGAACAACCGGTACGGTGTAGGATTATTCCTATGCTACACGCATGCTACACTCTTCTCTTTTTTGACCTTTTTGTTTCCTGAGCCCCCGCCTTCGACCATCCCTGTCTGGTTCCGTCGACCTCAGTCAACGTTGGCGAAAGCTGGCCTGATCACGCACGCTCTTGTCGACGTACTCAGTCGATATAATGGTTTCGAATGCTTGGCATACGCTTGGTCTCGAACTTGGTCGTTATGGTCGCTTCTGGTCTTTTGGCTCAACGTGGTTTCGTCCTACGTCTGCAGCGTTTTCTGGTCCGGACCCTTACGGACGCAATCTTCAGATCCTGGATACAAACCATTCTGGTGTGGCATGCCAACTCGAGCAACAAATACAGCACACCGCTCCTGGTACCGTTCTTCGAAAAAGACCTTTCGTTGGCAACTCGACGATCAATGATCGCTTTCCCGTTCCGCCAATTCTTTCGTCCTACAATCGCTCGTCAGCCGATCAGTCCCACGAATCAAACCGCTACTTATCGAAAGTGTAAACCCTTTCTAGCGGGGGGCTCCTGTAGTGACTCACTTTTATCACGAGAACACGACTGATTTAATAAAAACAATTATTATTGTAACCAACTGTACCAGTGCTTGTTTTAATGTACTTTTGTTTAATTGTGCTAATTATAGTCATTTTGTGCTTCCATTACCTTCCATCATTGTTTCGCGGTTTTTGGTACTGTTCGCACGTACTCCTTTCTCCTGCTTCCACTTGTACCATTCCTTGGCACGATCTTGGTATTCGTTCGATACCACGAGATCGTCAACGAAATAAACCTGGTTATGTTCGACCTTCGCCTTCTGATTTACTTGGCACGTGTTTCTTGGTAGTGGTGTTCATAGTCAATCTCGACTCGACTCCACGCTACAAGCGAATGACAGAGACTGTGTACTATAGATAACCAGTGGATTTTGTCTTCATGGACTTCAGCAAAGCATTTAGTAAGATGCTGAATTATAGAGTACTCTTGAAGCTAGAAAATCTGGGATTACTGGACCTCTTTTAAAGTGGATCAAAGACTTCTCGCTAGGTCGCAGAAAGTAAGAATAAATTTCACGCAGTCATCAATTCTTGAAACCTGTTACATGGAGAAGTAGTATCTGTCCCTTCGAGTATCTAATTCAGGAGAAGACTAGACACTCTCTGAAGCTTACTATAAAAGAAGGACACAGACAGTAGACCTTTTGTTCTCAATACGCAAATCTGTATATAAATTAGTCAGCATGTAGAGTAACAATAACCAATCAAACTGTACTAGAACTAATTGGACACAAATAGATTAAAATAATAATTACATTGAAATAACGCAATAATTAGACATCTTTGTAGTTGAATTGAATTTATGTAGATATTGGCAACTGTAGTCAAGCAAAAGGGAGCTGGATTGCTACATCGGTCACGACCGAAGGTAATCTTCAGTGGAATGAATTAACCAAAACCAACCTCCATATGCCATAGTTCCTTCATCCACTACAGATGATTTCAGTACGTTTCTCTATCGATCGCTCATTCAGTAAATATCTCAAAATATTGTCAGTCTAACTGCAGATGTAGCGACACAACCATGAATGCAACTCATAAGTACAAGCAGTCGAGCAAATCTACTACAAACTGAAAACACTGTCAAATTTACCTTGACACTGACTGAGGTTCAAGCCATTACCATAGATATGAGTTAGGAGTGTATTATCCTTGGTTACAATTTATGTTCTCCCTGATAATCATATGAGCACCACTCACTGTTAATCATCTTGTAAAAACTTATTTAACCGAAGTCATCTTGCAGCAACATATCACCTATAAATGTTGCACGTAAGCTTAGTTGATTTCAGCAACTTATAATCGCTATATCTTAATTAACTCGTAATCCGCCTTATACTAAACTGCACACTTGCAACTGGTATGCACCATCAACCGGTAGGTATGAATATAAACAACTAATCTTTTGCAAATCAGAATAGTGAGTCTAGAGCACGTCTCTCACGAATACGCGCAAGTTTAACGAGTTACTCTTAGCTATCTATCCAAAATGCACACAATTATCACTATTTTCACGTAAAAGAATTTTCGATAATCATTCGTATGTATCAGTTACATTGCTAAATTCTAACACAGTTAAGTAATCATGAAGTTGAAAAAGTATCACCACAACTAAACAAACCGTATCAAACTTAACAAACTAACTGGAACACCTGTTGGAATTCTTCTTCCTCATGGTTTTAATTTTGATTGCTCAGTTAGCCTACTAATACAGATGCAACTGGATATCAACTCATACGGACGGTATACCGGAATAAACGTTAACCGACTTTATAAATTAAACCGAAGATAATACCTATGTCGACATTTCTGTAATAATGATTACTTTTATATTCTTAAACACAAAATGCTTGTACTACCTATAAGTTAAGCTATTAACCAACGGCTATTACTACGCATCTCACTGAGACTTGTTAAAATATCTCTACATAAAATCATTTTTAACCGTTACAATCCCACTTTGTTCAACTCCTATATAATCTTCACGTAGATTTTCATTATTCGCGTGTTAAGTATAACACTAAACATTTTGGAATTACTACGTCTTTTCCTTGAACAGTTGCTGACACAATGTTTTTTCGATTTATTCTTCAGCTTATTAATACCTGGAATCTCATGGGAGAACAGCGTAGTGGCGTTGAACCTTAATCACACGACTTTTCAAGCAGAGCATATAATCAGTGAATAGACTGTTATAACGGGTGTGAGACTGCAGATTTTGATAAGCAGCGTATTTATCGATCGCTTCTGTGACAGTGACACGTAGACATGTGAGGACGACCTAGTGCCCTGATTGGCCCTGCTTCGCTGTCTGTCCTAGCCAGTTGAGTCAAGAACACAAGTCACTGCCTCTGAGTTATGAATCATTATATTTCAAACATACTTTGTTTATATACCAATCAAGCATACCACATCGTACCATAAAATAGAAAACAACATTTTGTACAATATTCAACAAGTGAACAGATATCGACCAATAGGAAATGTCCATTTAAAGTCCAAGGACACCATTGGACTTAACATCATAATTATTGGTCTATTCCTCCGCATCCACAACATAGACATATGCCGCAACTGACACGAAAATAAGGTTAACTAAGAAGAACGCGGGAACATTAATTCGCTTCATCAGATGGCATGGCTCAGACTTGCACGTGTGTTGTTGAGAGTTACCTTTAATTCCTTGAGTTTGTCAATATCTCGAAGGAAGACTGTATTGAACCTTTGTGATGCTGTTCCTCCGGTTGCCCATTACTCTTTTAGCTTTGGTTTCATCTTGGCAACCATTAGGTGTCGGTCTGAAGCTGTCAGCTCCTATCCTGGTTCTCATGTTCATCACTGTCTTTCTGGCATTTTTAGTGATGCAAGTGTGATCGATCTGGTTGTCTGTGGTGTGCTCTGATGAGACTCATGTCGCTTTGTTTATGTGTTTGTGTAGAAACATTGCGCCACCTATTAAGAAGTTGTTGAATGAACACAGATTTGAAATCTCTCCATTTTAGTTCCTTTATCCTAGTCCATATCGTCTCATGATATCTTCTTACCCGGTGTTGTCCATTCCGACCTTGGCGTCTAAGTCTCCTATCGGGACTGTCAGGTCCTTTCCTGAGCACTTCCAGGTGATAAATTGCAGATTCTCGTGAAACTGATCTTTGTCTTACATGCTTTTTTGGATAGCATTAGAACAACTCTCTGAGTGTGTGGTATAATTTCCTCTTCATGACCGGAGTACAGCAGAATCTCTTCCGTACCTAACCTTTGCTCTCCAGCTTGAGTCCAATGGGTTTCGCTGATTCCGAGTACTGTCAAATCGTATCTCCTCATTTGCTTAGCTATTTAACTGGTCTTCCTGGTCTCCCACATTGTCTGGACATTTAAGGCACCTATACATTGATTGTCATTGTAGTTGTTAGAAAGGCATCGATTTCGTGGCTCCCAAACAATCTCGGCTTTCAGCGTATGACGCCATAATTCTTCTTTAAACTCGGATAGCAGAGTTCAAATGGTTTAATTTGCTTATTAAGGTTAGCGTTGTCTTAGCAAGATTGTTTTTTACGGGATCGTGTTTGTGATCCCGTGCTCAACGCTTTTTCTTTAATCGAACATGGGACTGTCAATAGCCCTTAAAAAGTTACAAGCAGAGTTTATCCCCACGTACTCAACACTAAATATCGAAGACTTACAGGACTATTTATTTTGAGAAATCATTTTCCGCTGCGAAAGTTTGCCTACGCTAAGACCCTGTGCTCGACAACCCAGGCAATAGTTAAGGACTGCATCTGTAGGAAATTACTTCCTTCACAGATGTCACTCTGAGTGACCAGCTTGGCTCGTATTATTGACGAGAAAAATACAACTTGCCACTGTAGTGAATTGGTTCCTCATTATATACTGACGACCCTCTGGGCTTTCTAAAGCAAAGTACAATAATTTTTACATTCTCCTTCACAGAATCCTACGAAAATATGTACAATTTTCTCAATATCAGTACATGAGCTGTAAGGAAACGGTTAGATGACACTTACTTGTCATACATATATTGGACAAAACAAGACAATTTGAATGGGCTCGCCACTAAGTCCTGTCGTTACAGATGTACTTATGGAAGTTTTAGTTTGATATGCGATTATCTCAAACTATTTTTATTCTGAGTGGAAAATTTGCTGACCACTTTATACGATTTGGTGGGTACACTCCCACTCCTTTATCGTTGAAAAAGCTGATTGCATTTGGTAAAGTCGGCTCGGTTCAGGAGTCTGCATCATTCTTGGCTTATGAACTTCCTGTTCGCCTAGCAAATATCTTGCAAGAAATCCATTTGCTCCCAGAACAACTCGTCAGAACTCCTTCTGCATCTCTTGTGAGACGATGGTATGTTTAATTAAAAAAATGTATACTTCTATAGGTACGAGCAAAGCTTCTGCGAATTGATGGACTTCGAAAAGATAAAATGGGACGAAAAAAGTTTAAATCAATTTAACGAAATCCTCGCCGGTATACGTAGTCGTCACACGACCGTCGTTGAAACGATGGCACAGGTTTCCGTGTATTTCTTATTCGATATGCTAGATATGTAATCCAGGGTGTAATGGAAATGCAGGAAAACTACAAGACTGACATAGTTACAAACAACCAGGTGCAATACTTCTTGGACAGGTTTTATATGATGAGAATCAGTATTCGTATGTTGCTTAGCCAGCACTGTAAGTATATATTAAACCATGAGATTTTCAAATGTTTATCATTGTTCAGTTGTTCACTATTCAGAACAGTTGATTGTATTTAGTATTTTGCTGCGTAGAAAGTTCCCATGTTACACATCATGTGGCCGAATGTCCTAACCTAATCCGTTTATACTTTTTGTCTAATGGCTTTATAAATATTTAAGAATTTAAATCCTTTACAATGGGTTTTTAAACCCTTTAAAAGACTATGAATGGGTAACATTTAAGCTATTTTAAAGTCAATGTAATGGCATTTAGCTGAGGCTTAGAAATTTCAACCGTTTGTTTTTCATTTTAGTGCTTATGTTTGGTTCAGAGTTGAATAAACATAGAAGATACGTAGGCTCGATTGATCCTGATTGCAATGTTCGAGAAATATTGGATGATGCATACGAGGATGCCAAATTTCTTTGCGAGCATTACTATTCAGCGGCTCCTGAAATGAAGGTTCGGGTGCATAGTGGTAAGTTCTTAAATCCAATTAGTTTTTCGGTGTTCAGTACTTTGAAACCCATTTCACAATGGTCCTGATTGTAAAACGATTTATGAACATGTGACGCGATATACGGACTTACTCAAAGCAACGAGACTCGAGTATTTGTTCCTAGGTGACGTTTCGTCAATAATGTAAAGCCATAGTGTATTAAATTCGGGGTATAACTTAAAGTTACCGTAGCATTGGATTTCACCATCCTTCGAAATCCCTTGTGGTACCTCACTAAATTTTTATTCCAGTAAATGTATGAATAAAAGTCGAGTGTTTTGCTGCGTAGAGAGACAACAGCCACCAGCATAATAACATACATTTCACTAGTATGAAGCCTAATTATGTACAAGGTCTTCAAATTTTATACTTAGTGCAGTAAACCTAAAATCAACAAACTTTAGTACTTGGTAGTCATCATATGTCAAAGTTTTGCATCGAATAAAAATTTATGTAATTCGAATAACAGGTGATTCACTTTGTTTTAGAATTACACATAACTACTGATAAAGTGTCAATATTAGTTATTTATTATTATCCTCGTAATTTCTTGAGATTTTTGGTTAGTTAACTAATGATATTCAACTGTGCAACTGGTCACCATAGTTATAGGTCTGAATAAAAGTACGTTGGAACTTAACAAAGTTGAATGTTCTAACAGTCTTGAAGCAGATCATTATAGAGTATACCAACCTTGGATCGTGTACGTTTAGACATTCTTCAAAACTATAAATCATGGTTATAAATTAAGTAGTTACTTCTGTTGATATGATATCCATCCGTAGGTGGCTTTTTGGTTTTGGTTATCATATTGGATGCATTTCCAATATATCGTCCTCACTATTAACCTAAACGACTTTCTACATTTTACGTTACTTAAAATAACTATTGGTTTTCCAGGATGTTTACAGGTTTTCCTAATATTAATTTTAACAGATTAAGGGTTAGTGGGTGTTCATAACAATTTAGATTTGACGCTTTCTTAAACTTCATATATTTTTGATTATGTTAGTTATTTTTATGTAAGTAATCGTTTTTTTCATTATTTAGCAATTTAAGTTATAACATGACTTAAATAGCTCGATGATTTTGTAATCCAATATGTTCGATACATCTTTGTTATTCCATCGGTAAAATGCTCCCCTCCTAGGTTTCATAACAAAGAATTTCGAGGTAATTATAGGTTAAAGCATGAGATTTGGGAATTTCGAGTGCTCCGGGTGTTTTGTAGAGATGCTGAGGGATTGTATGAGTGTTTTTAGGCTGTTATACATAATTTTAAGTAATCTCAAACTGGTCGGATCACATTTCACGAAAGGCACTTGTATACCTGCGGGAACCAGACACCCGGGTGTGGTAGTATTTATCTGCCATATGATGAGCAGCTGGTTTCTTAAACTTTATTAAAACAAACTTTCTGCGTTGTGATTAACTAATTGGGTGTTAATATGACCTGAGTTCTATCAGTGTAGCTAAGCGGTTGTAATAGTGGGCTGGTAGAGCTATGTAGCACACCATCTTTTTCATTTTTCAACAGCTTGTAATCAGTAATCATCAATATAGAATCCGGCACAAACGTTGAGCGCCTGAGAATAGATTATCACAGGCCAGTTTAGAAAAAAATGCATGTTCTATTCACATCATATGCTGCCAAATACGGAGACCGGCGCAAACATCAATACTAAGATGTCAAGATAAGCGCACTAACAAATGAATAACGTTTGTTTACGGAAAGTTAACCGGACTTTTAAATTTGCTTATAATCGTTTAGCTCTATCCTACCGTAACGCGGAGTCAGCCAAAATAAATGAATATCATCTAAGTATCCTGACAATGATACCAGTGCCAAATTAGCACTGACATACGCTTTACTTTGGTTATCTCTAAAGTCAAAGTCACAAAAACTACTAAAAATGTCAGTTAAATTTGGAATCGCGCTGCCTATCTTGTGGTCAAGTACTATGTATCTTTGCCAAAGCATGTGAGTCAAGCTTGTTGATTAACATATTCAATGTAAAGTCGGATTTGCGCAAAACATTTTCTTCATGGACTAATAATACAAGACCGATAACTCATTTTCCTAGTCACAAGAGTATGAATCTATGCAACCAGTGTTCGAAAGTCAATAACAAGGACTGTATCGTGACAGAAAATCAACCAAAGTCATTTGCTTTACTTATGGTCTACGTTAAGTTCATAAAGCGATTGTTCGTATGCGGCTACTGAACACGTTCAAGCAGAACTCAACTGTGGCACTGACAACTCTATAAAGAAAGGCCAACGCTAAAGCTAACAGGCAGTCCAAGGTCAAATCAACCAGGAAAGAATTTTAAAAAATACGCAGAAAATCTGAATTCCTACTGGTTTTGGGCTGATTGTTTTTTACATCACTTTCTGTTGGTGCTGTAAACTGTACATAGATAACTGGATCGTTAATAAAAAACTTAACGTCGGTAGCTCTCCTATATGGTATACTTGTCCGATATTTTTTCATCGTACAGTAACATTAGGGGATCATATATTCACTTGGTAATATACACGTTTACAGAAGTAGGTGGAAAAGATCTAAAAGGTGATCAGAGGTTAAAATAAATCCAGCAAGTTTTCAACGAATGTTTTTTAGCTTCGTTTCTGCGGTAAGCTACTTTCTGGGGGCTGAAATCACTGAATACTTTGTCACAATATGATATAACCCAGAAGTCATTAAGAGGATGAAACAAAAATATTTAGTTGGGTTTTCTGGTATATCGAAACCTTACTTTAGGAAGTAGATTGATTGAATCATTTCCAGGTGTTACAACTGTATGGTCTTAACATTGACAAATATGACTTTGATCCTAGACATTCCTTGGGATATCTGGTTGTGTGACTGGAAGTCAAAGGGTTATTTGGAATAAGGTAAATGTATTTCCATGTATTCGTTTATTTTAATGCCTTTCAGCACTGATGAGTCTAAGAAAGATTGAAATGCGATGAAAACTTACTTATTTACGCCTGTTACCCCTAGTGGAGGAGCATAAGACGCCCGCCAGCATTCTTTATCACACTCTGTCATGAGCAGTCCTTTCCAATTGCTTCCAGTTGCTGTTCATTCTTTTGGTGCCTGCTTACAATTCTGGTCTCAGTGTGTCCCATGGTCTTCCACTTTGCCTCTTCCATTCAGAAGTACAAGTTGGCGCTTGCCGCGTGATGTAGTTTGGTAATTTCCATAATGTATTTCCTATCCACCTCTAGCGTCTTTCCCTAATTTCCTCTCCATCTGGAAGTTGGTTTGTTCTCCACAGTAGGATGTTGCTGATGGTATCCGGTCAACGGACATTCAGTATCTCACATAGACAATTGCTTATAAATACTTGTAATTTTTTGATGATGTTTGTGATAGTTCTCCGAGTTTCAGCTCCGTACATTAGAACTGTCTTGACGTTCGTATTCAGGATTCTCACTTTGATATTGGTTGACAGTTGTTTTGAGTTCCGTAAGTTGTTCAACTGTAGGAATGCTGTCCTTGCTTTGCCAATCCTCGCCTTTACGTCTGCATCAGATTCTCCTTGTTCATCTATGATGCTGCACAAGTACGTGAAAGTTTCCACCTCTTCCAGAATTTCTCCATCAAGCGTGATTGGGTTGGTGTTCTCTGTATTATATTTGAGGATCTTCGTTTTTCCTTTGCGCATGTTTAGAAAAAGTTGAACCAAAAGGGGAATTCACATTAATCTTTAGGGTTGTGGTAGCTATACATTTTATGAGGTAGTTGTTCACTGGTTACTTAATTATTTTCAACAGTTAGGCTGTAGGTTCAAACTTCACTTCATTTAGACTAGATATTTAATATTATGAATATTAGGGTATTGAGAATCTAGCATTCATGATATCATGTTCTCATCCTTGTCTTACACCGTTCCTCACATGGAATGCATCTGTCAGCTGTCCTCCATGTACAGCTTTGCACTGTAATTCGTCGTACCAATTCCGTATGAGGTTTACGATTTCCTCAGGTACACCATAGTGTTGAAGAAGTTTCTGTAGGGTCGTCCTATCCACATTGTCAAGTGCTTTCTCATAATCAAGGATGTGGGTGTATGGTGACAAGTTCCATTCAATCGACTGCTCAACAATGATCTGTGGTGTCGCGATTTATTCTGTACACGACAGATCCTTACGGAATCTAGTCTGTTGATCTCGAAGACGTCTATTGAATCTTTCATCCGGTTCAATAACACTGTTGAAAACTTTTCCTAGTACTGATAGTTGTGTGATGCTTCCGTAGTTTTCACATTCTCTCAGATCTCCTTTCTTTGGTATCTTGATGAGGTGTCATTCTTTCCAGTCTCACCATTTGTTCTTCCTCACAAATCTTCCTGAATAGAACGTGGAGCATGTATGTGATTACTTTTATGTTTGACTTCAGTGCCTCAGGTGGTATGTTGTCAGATCCTGTTGCTTCCCACTCTTGATTTGTCTGATGACTGGTTTCTTCGATTGTTGGTGGGGTGACATCTATGGAAATGTCTGTAGGTGCTGCTTTGATGTCAAGTGAATTCAATGAAGTTGGACTATTCAAGTAGTTTCTGATTATTTGTATAAAAGTATATATGTTGCCATTAAAATGAGGGGGTTTCGATTACTTTGTTTTTTTCAGGTGACAATGCAAAAATTGAATTTGTCTATGTACCTTCGCATTTGTATCATATTTTGTTTGAACTGCTGAAAGTAAGTTTTTATCTTGTTAATTTTTTCATGTGTGAATTTGACCAAAATTGGAGATGAATGATTAATGGGAAGGTGACTTAAGTAGTTTGTTTCGATATCCTCATAATAAATTGCTCAAAATAAGGATCATGTTGCTTATATTCATAGGCGAACGAAAAGTGCTATAAACTATAAAAATATTGCTACTCAAATTCAAACAGACTGAATATAATATAGTTTGTTTATTATAGTATTAATGTAGTAACAATTTACTTAAAGATTCACTTGTTGACTTGGAATATGCTGATGACGTAGTTCTATTTGGTGAAGACTCTGACAAGATGCAGAGTCTTCTGACCACTCTAAGCAAAAATGCAAGCATGTTCGGGATGCGATTCTCCCCCTCGAAATGCAAAATGTTGCTTCAGGATTGGGTTGCATCGACACCCGAACTAATGATAGGGAGTGAAGTAATTGAGCGTGTCGACCGCTTCACTTATCTTGGAAGTCTCATCAGCCCTTGTGGTCTGGTGTGTGACGAAATCTCAGCACGGATACAGAAGGCTCGACTAGCTTTTACCAACTTGCGTCATTTATGGCGTAGGCGAGATATCCGTCTATCAACCAAAGGACGTGTTTACTGCGCAGCGGTTCGTTCCGTCCTACTTTATGACATTTCGTGACCACATATGTCTCTTACAGGTTAATACAGGTTTAGGTGGTACAACGAATCAATCGAATCACATATAGTCAGTGAATATAAACAAATTTGGGGATGAAATCGTAATGTTTGTCGAAAACCATTTGGTTTAGTGAGTATATGAATGGGTGTGAATAAATGTGAGATTATGCCATGGACAAATGCTCCCCGTTTAATATACAAGTCCATAATTTATAAAAGCCTTAGTGATTTCGTTTATCTTCGATATTCTCTGAAACAAGTCACAACTTCACTAAGTTACCTCTTACTGCAAAGTGCATCACAACCAATGTAATCCAATCTCTAGTCACAACTCTCCGTTGAAATGGGTGGGTATGTCTTTTATTTGAACTAATAACTTCGAAAGCTTAATCGTAATTTTATGAAGATCTTTAATGCAGCTCTGTCCCATATTTCGTCAGTTTTTCCTTTCTACTGTTGAATTTTCTATACGTGTTGGTAGAGCACCCTATTTCAGGAATAAAGAGTGGTAGATAAGTCCACTGGTGAGTTACAAAACCTGTGTTTTTAGTTGCTTGATAAATTGATTGTGCTACAAAATGTAAATATGAAAATGTCCAATTGGATGTACGTTTTCGGCTCAATGATATCGGGTTACAACAACGTCCTTGAATTCATTGTTCTATGTCCTCATTATCCGGAAGTTTCCCTCTACCTACTGTTTATGAAAAACTACAGATCCTCTTAGTTGATTTTGATAAACCCCCTGTTCGACCCAATTAGCCTATCATTTAATTTATGATGTCATTAGTAACACTTTCAAAGAATCTTTTAAGGTAACATCAAAAGGTTCTTTTCTGATCAATAAGTGTAGAGCTTGAATCGAACTGTTTTCATTACAAGGAGTTGTGGAACTAAAATGAGTGAGGATTTGAAATTTAAACAAGTTGGTTATTGTCCAGTCCATGTATTAGCCAGAATATTAGATCGCTATTCGTGTGCTTCTCAAAATCTCATTTTAAAGTAATTTGTATCCTATTTTAAACTTACTTTTGTGAGTTAATACAACTTAGGTATTGCTATTAGTATATGTAGGATTAATATTCGATGTTTGTGTTAATTTTCATTCTTCATAGAATGCCATGCGAGCAGTGGTGGAGCAGCATAGTAGGGCTGACCAACTTCCTCCCATTAAAGTCTTGATAGCAACTGGTCAGGAAAATGTGGCGATCAAAGTAAGAATAATTCAGAATGATTTACACCCCAATACTGTTTTATGTATATTATAATGTCTTCATCAATGTGTGTGTATATATAGTAAAAGTTGATTATTACTGAATGACTGATAAATTAGAGCCATTAATCCAAGTCGATATTCCACGACAGTATGACGAGATGAGATAGGTATAATGACTATCAAAGTAATTGTAATAATTGTACTAGCAATCGGGAATTAGAAGATTAAACATTGTGATTATAATTATATTGTATTAAAGTTATCGTAGTGTCTGTTTATAAACCGTAACGGATGTTTTGCATGAAATGTTCATAATCTCTTGTGTATCTCGGAAAAAGCCATCTGGTGTTGTAATGGAACTTGGAAAAATGTACTTTCTTTTGCATTCAGTTAGGGCGCTACTGACATAAAGCTGCAATGCAGTTCCTGCGATTTCATACTTACCAAGTTATTTTCCAAAGGTTGAGGTTCTTTGATGTAAATCGCGTCTAATTTAGTTTTATGACAGACGAGATGTTTCTGTTCTGATGAGACATCTTAAAGTGTTGTATTTGGGCTTTTTGAGTATGAATATATGTTTCGAAATGATTACATTTGGTACAAAACTGAACAGTTAACGTTGTAAGGAAGAAGATTGCATCACACAGTGACTAAGAATTCAACAGCTATTGGAAACCAGGGCGTACTGTACAGCCTCCTCAACAGTGCATGCTCTACTCCACCAGAGATCCAATGTCGAACCTTTACGAGCAAACTTGTTATCTTTATGTCACTGATATCATATGTTTCAGTCTATGATTTTAAGTGATATACCCGATAAAATAGTATATGATTTCAATACGGATTCCTAATTAATTTCATTTAGTTACATATTTTGTGTAATAGCGTGATCTCTTGGTCATTTATATTTTTGATGTTAGAATTTATTGCTTTGAAAAGATGAGATTGTAATATTGACTATGTAGTTTAGTTCCTGACTTGTACAGCTAGTGATTTTCATCAACGAAACACCGAGGAATTTAAAGTTTTTTGACGGCAATCTAATTTTGTAGGTCGCAGTATATATATATATATATATATATAGTTTAAAATTTTGTAATGGAGACTCAAATGCTATAAAGTATTGCATTAGCTGACATTGAAATACCGGCATTAAACCTGTTCGCGTACAAATTATGGAAAGGAAATTTGTGAATTCTGAATATGTAAATAGAAGTAGGGAATAAATTTGATCTAGAAATCCGAATCTTATGAATTTCCAATAAAGTACCGTACAATTGAATGGTACCATTTGACCCTCACCAACTTTGTTGAATAATGTGAATTCAGTGAAAACTGTCTTTAACTTCACTGTTGTTACTGTTATTTATTCAGGAATCGTCGCTTATGCCTAATTCATGTACTACATATGACTATCAGTCAATTTCTTCCCCTGTGAGTCTTCTCACTATTTATAGTCATACTTTAGTGGTAGCTTTGAAATGTACGACTCGTCCTCGAATACAAGCAGTACTCAACAGTTGGTATCAGTCAGTTGCATTGGTTGATAATTGATTGAGTTGGTGTATTTGATAATAACCTATTTACTGTCTAAATATTTGTGACTAGTAAAGAGTTATGATGGTAATAATAGATAGTCGTGATATTGTTGCTGTTGTTTTGAATCTTTTCGAAATCAGATTTCTGATTTGGGTGGTGGTATCCCGCGTTCTCAAATGGATTTAGTTTTCAATTACACTTATACAACTGCCGGGCAGGCTAAACGATGCGGTGAAACATCTTCATTGTCAATGGAACCCAGACCGCCTGGTCAGGGAACCAGTGCTCCGATGGCAGGTTATGGTTATGGTCTTCCACTTAGTCGATTATATGCAAAGTACTTCAATGGTGATCTTATACTATCCAGCGTAGAAGGATACGGAACTGATGCTATAGTATATTTAAAACGTAATGCTGCTGAAGCTGATGAACTGCTTCCTGTGTTCAATCGTACCTCTGCTAAACAATACGGGAGTGCTAGTATCCCGGTTGCCGACTGGTCTAATCCTCATATAACAACTGGTTGGCGACGAAATTGAATATCCCTTCATTAAATTTCATTTTCACCATATTAAAGAATTTTCTAACCGGCATTTTCTCCTTTTTTGTGGATCTCATTACTTTAGTTTCCCATTTTCCCTCTTTCACCCATCACCATTAGTTTCTAACTTGACACTATAACACACCAGATGACATCGATGTGAAGCTCAAAACAGTTTATCAATAGTACATTTTAGAGTTTTCGAAATTCCTTTCGTTCTCTTGTGAATATATTTCACAGAGGAATTAATTTATTTGAATGATGCTTCTCCAATTCCTGTTGTTATATATTTCAACTTTGCTCCTTATTAAAGTAATCACACATTCAGTGTATACTCTTATGAGTAGAATAAGATTTTCTTTCATCATCACATGAAATCTTTTGTTCTTAATTTCCATTTACTTATTATTAATTGTTATTTACAGGCAATATTTTAGTTATAAAGGGAAGCAAATAAGAAAACAGAATGTCTGAAAACATTTTCGATTCATCTTCTAGTCTTACATTAAATGTGTTAGGAAACACTGTCTTAAAATTTTATAACTGACATTAATATTATTATCATTAAAAAGCTGATAATTTTGTTTTCTCTCTTTATTATTGTTCTTAATTTTCATATTCTTCATCTTTTTCATCTAAATCATCTCATTTCCTACCTTCATTTCTCCTGAATATGCAAAAACAAAAATAGACATGTAATTCAATGTGTTTGCTAAAAGACTAATTAAATGTCTTTGATCATTTGCTTTATTGAATTGTAGAATATTTTTATTTATTGATATCATGCTGATCTTTTCAGTTTCGAATAAAAAAATGTTTTTTTGTTCATAAATAACTTTTCTATTTTCTTTTAATATTGTAAAGGTACAATCAGTTTAGATTGATATGATGTGCAGGGGGGGGGGAATGTTTGCAAAGAGTAGTTTTTGACTGAATCATAAGGTGACAAAAATTATATAACTAAGTAAGTTTTCATAGTATAATGTCTTATTACATTTTCATTGTGAATTCATCTTAGATGAATAATTGTGATAAACTTCATTTTCTCATTACATGATCCAAATCTAGATGAATAATTATTGAAAATAGGTAAGTATTGAAGAACTGTTTGATTCTATTTAAATTTCAATAATTTACCAACATTGAATTAACTACTCCTGAATTCGGTGTTTATTTTGTTGTGCTAATGAGGTATGGCAACTTGAACTGATGCATATATGTGCTTGGTCCTACATTGTAGCTGACTGATTTAACTTTCAAATATAATTTTCCCAAATAATATCTCCATACTATGTATTCAATTTCTACGAAACTATTCGTTCAAATATTGACGAATATTAGTATAATTGTTTTATAATACATATATTTTCTGTTATATACCGCTGAGTAGAAAAAGTTATATTTCTGACATTTCGTGACTTAATGTAAACCACTTCTTCAGAGTAAACAAATAATTTAAATGTTTCATTCATTTTTATTCTGAAATCGTTTCATTCTAGTTATTTGTAAATAATTATTTAAAGATATTGTAAAGAATTATAGGAAATTTAATACGATTAGGTTGGGTTAGATATAGTTCCCTTTTTAATTTAATGTCTATGGTTCCGAAAAGGCTTTTAGTGTTAATTTTTTTATAATTGAACTCTTTTAATAATTGTGTTTATTAGCTAGAAATCGTTCATATTTTATTACCAATTATAATAAATATCTATGATGAAATTATTGTTCATGGAACATTAGTAGCATAATGTTCTGAATAGTATACATCAGTAAATTAATCGTTTTTCAGTATATCTCACTTTGAAATTTTCAATTAAGTGTTTTGATAATCAATCAAATATAGTTGGTTAGAACAAAATTATGTTTAAAGGGAAATAAACTTTTTACCGTTACTGTTGATTCAAGATTACTTCACTAATTCGGTATACAGTCAAGTTAATCTGGCAATTTTGCTCTATTATAAATTATTTGATAAGAGGAGAAAAGTCAGTTACATTAAATGGTTTTGTAAATACCAATTTTTTGGCGTATTACTTTATTCTGCACAATAAATCGGTGTTATTTAAACAAGCTGACATATCAAGGTTATCAGTTACGCTGAATCAAACGTTACTTGGTAAGAACAGACAGTAAAACAGTTGACTTTTTTCCGTTATGATTTCTGTTCAGAGCTAAATCGTATTTGTCCGACGTTTTAGTTTAATCAGCAGTGGAGTAACAATACAACATAAGTTCGTATGTTTAACGAGTTTTATTTCAGTGTCATCCTTGAATATGAATTATTCCTGATATGGGAGTATGCCATCTATACAAGCTTATTAATGAATAAACATTCTGTTCCTAGCTGATCTATAAAAGATAGTAAGTTTTATTTGATTTTGTTAGTTGTTTGAGTAGAGTTAAGAGTTTGGTGCATGCAAGTCTTATCTCCCTCACTGTGTTGATTATATTAGTGGAGGTTAAACAACGGGATCTAAAGTTCAACTCCTTTATCACTCATATAAGGTTCACTAAATTATTGAACTGACAGACAGATGGTGAAGCAGACGAGCCGCACATTTCAATCTTTCTATACAGATTATGTATTCTGTCTTGCACTTGTTACTAAAAATAGTTATTAATTATATATATAAAGTTAAAAGTGTTATTAGCCTCGATGACCCTTCCATTTACTAGGTTTCGGTGTCCTATTTTACATTTCTCGTGTAAGGTTTAATTTTCGTTGATATATCAAGCCCTTTTTTAGATTCAATTATTGAGAAATAATAATACAACTTGATAAGCAGCTAAATCTACAGTGTCAGTTATGCTAAACCACTGCTAGCGTCCCAATTAAATTTGTATTGTGGCGAAATGGCCGTAAAACACCTAGCGGATCCCCACAGCCGATTAGACGGAGGTAATTTGAATAGTGTTACTATATTGTTCATGAAGGATTGCTATTAGCAGTCAATGTCGGGCCTTCATCAATTGTAAGTTGATTGAGGGTTACTGGACTGTTGTTCGTGGGAATGTGCATTACAATCATGAGTGCGATTCCCTGGGGTACGATAACAATTCGTGGATGCGTAGGTTAACGGACGCGGAATTTGAAACAATGCGACCTCTTCTTATTTTGGGGACGTCAGCATTCAATATTGTGCACTTCGTTTACCATTCTTATGGTAAGCGCCAGAATCCCCAAGATGCTTTTAACATATGCCACAAAGTGTTTTCACAGGCCAACCTTCCTGGTAAGCAATATGCCTGTTTACATTGTAAATGCTAGGTGATTGCGCCAAATTGAAAGCTCACATCATGTCACTTGGTGGGTTTTGTGAGTACGAAATTGATGACGAAGATTATTTTCGGTACTTTTTCTTTGCAACTGCTTATCAAATGAATTTGACAACTCGTTTTCTCGATGTTGTTGATTTTGACGGGACCTACCAAACCAATAATGAAAATTTATATTTGTATCAAGTAGTTGTATTAGATATGAATTTAATGGCAATATCTGTTTTTATTGCCTTTATAAGTCGCGAAAATCTGCTTTTCTGTCGTAATTCCTGTCGTTCTTCAGACGTTCAACTAACAATCAAGAATTGGTTGGTATTATCACAGATAACTTATCTGTAATAGCTGCTGCTGTAACTCAAGTGTATCCAAACTCTCACCATATCTTGTGTCGCGTACATCCTATTCGTAATGTCATAAAGAGATCATTTGTTGCTGATGAAATACAAGTGGTTAAATTCGTTTAGACCCTCTACGACGCTCCTTGAACAAAGCAATACGAACTTCGTTGAGACGACTCATTGAGTGTTGAAGCTGCACAAACTCACTTAGCAAAAAGAACACTTGCGCAGAGATCTTTATTCAGTGTGCTTCTTCTGACTGGATATTGGATGCTACGTTGTATAATATATAAAAAAGAAGGAACTAACAAAATATTTTGATGAATGGCCACTAATGTATTAGTTATGTAAGAATCAAGAGACGAATAAGTAAATCATATATACATATATTAGTTTAGAGGTATAATCACAAACTAATTGAAAATAAATGTCTATATCACCTAGTGAACACTAATCTGTCTAACCATAGTACATGCAAAATTTACTAACAATGTCTTAATATTTTTTACAATGTTCACTTAGACAAATGTAAGTCTTTACTAGTTACATCGAAATGAAATGTTGCTAAACATCAATTGATACAATTGACCTTATTCGCATTTATCAATATAATCGACATAAAAATTTATTATATGAGAAGTAGACCTGTAAATTTGTACTTAATACGACTAATTTTTTTGCAATTACTTGTCAAAAATGATTATTTTTTGTAACATTAAACTGTTTCAAGTTTAATATTAATATTATTCAAATATTACGACTATGTTACATTGTAATTGTTAGTATCCTTCTAGTATGTTTAACGAATAAAATCGATGATTCGAAAAATGATTCCAGACTTTCTAAATAAGTAACGTATGCTATCTTATTCACAAAAGGTATCAAAACATTAAGATAATGATTTAGTCATACTGCACATCTACGAAACATTTGCTGTTGACGTAAAGTGAAACATAAATCTAACTTTTAATTCCCAAACACGATAACTGAGTTAAATTACTGCATACGTAGTGAGGTTTTGTTTCTTAATTATAAACAGCTCAACTATATAGAATCAACAATGTATAGTTTCAAATAATTTTTACTTTTAATGAATTTGTAAAATAACGCAATCACAACCTTGCGTTTACTATAGATACCTTTTTTTCAAAGTGAAATAAAACAACTTTTTTTACATTAAGAATTATTGTCAGCAAAATCACCTATGCGTTAATATTATTTGCTTCTTTCTCAGAAATGATTATTAATTTAAGAAAGCATAAAAGTTTTGTCATTTACGGATCCTTGATGTTTAGCTTAATTAATACATATCCTATTCATTATATTATCATGATGATTTATTCATATGTTTACACTCGTATAATGATTATTACAAGATCGAACTTTGTGTTAAAATAACTTGTAGAAATACTAAAATGAAAATTAGTTTACTACTTATGCATTGAAAAATTTATTATCTTTCATGTTCAGCAATCAATATGGCGAGACTAATTTATGGACGAGCCAATCAGAAGCGTTTTAGAGATTTTAAGGGTACGGCGCCAAGTTTAGTGCTT